TTAATTCCAAATTTCAAATTAAGCGATAGTCGAAGATCATTACCAAAAATTACCCTTGCTAAAGTCCGTCCCGTTGTTTCATGTACAGCAGAGCGATAAGCAATCAGGAACAATAATATTTTTGATACTCTCCACAATTTTTCTCAAATATTCTTCCAAAGTTCGATTAAATCGTTTCACCATGTCATCGGACTGTGGATGTAGTGCAGTTGTACGCGTTTTCCGAATACCCAGTTTCTGTCATATCTCCTGTATTAGAGCATTAGCTCAATCATCAAAATTTCCCCCTTGGTCAGAATGTAATTCTATTAGAACACCATAGCTTGATACCCAATTGTTTATGAATACATCCGCTACTGTTTCTGCCTCTTGGTTGGGAATCGCGTATACCTCTAGCCATTTACTGAAATAGTCCATGACTACCAAAACAAATTTTTTTCCCAATTTACTGATAGAATGAACCAGCTACATCCATGAAAACTCGGTGAAACGGCACACGTGAACTGTACTGCTTCATCTGACCATGACTCCTGGACCTCGGCCCTTTAGCAGCAATGCACTCGACACAATTGGCGATCTACTCCGTAACTGATTGACGACAACCAACCCAATAAAATCTTTGTTTTAATTTCTCCAAGGTTTTAGTGATACCCATATGTCCTCCACTTGGACCGTTGTGCAGCTCGTTGAGAACTTCGGGAATTTTTACTTTTGGAACAATCATCAGATCCCGGGAACTTCAAACTATTTCATTGTGCCCAATAAGCCTTTACGAATGGGCTTGCTGCAGCTATTTCTTCTCTCGTTGGACGTTTATTTATCTCCAATCCATGAAATACACTTTTCAATTCCGGATCTTCTTGCTGACATTTCCGTAGCTCCTCCAGATCCCAGTCTGATGATATAGACATTACTCAGACATCTATAATTTCTTCTTTGGCCTCAGCTTTCGAGCAATGTCTGCATTCCAAATTACGTGGACGGCGGGACATGGCATCAGCATTTCCATGACTACTGCCTTTGTGATGTTCTATAGAGAAGTCGTAACTTTGGAGTCTCTCAATCCACCGTGCCGACTGTCCTTCTGGGTTCCCAAATTTTAAAAGCAATTTTAATGCTACAGGATCTGTCCTCTCGCGAAATCGCTGGCCATAAAGGTACCTATGAAAATGTTTGATGCACTTCACCAACGTCAGTAACTCCCTCTGAGTAACACAATAATTTCTCTCTGACTTGCTTATGGTCTGGATGTAATACGCAACCACTTTCTCATGTCTATCAATGACTTGTGATAGATCGCCTCCTACTACAAATACACTAGCATCCGTATCCAAAAAAGACACTGATCCTTGGACGGGGTATGAAAACATTGGCGCAGTACTTAACCGTTTCTTTATTCCATTCAAAAAGTCTGTTCATTATCGTGAGTTCACGTGAGCTACGCTGGCAAAATTTGTACACACATAAGTACACAGTCCAACGAAACTCGGCAATTCATGTAAATTTTTAGGAGTGGGCTAATCGCTTACTGTTTCTATCTTTTCATTAGCTGTGCAAATTCCCTGTTGTCACTTTGTGTTAAGTAGCATTCTTCCTATTTAAAAAGAGAATCTTCCAAGTTTTTAAGGTGTTCATCGAAGCTTTTATCCAACACGATGATATGGTCGAGGTATACCAAACAGGTCTTCCAGTGTAATCCTTTTAATACCTTTTCAATTAGTCTCTAAAAGGTAGCAGAAGCATTACATAATCCAAAGCTGTTTTTTCTTGGTCTTCTTCATTTACCTCCACTTGCCAGTAACCACTTTTCAAATCAAGTGTTGAGAACCATTTTGTGCCTGATAACGGGGCCAGCGTGTCATCGATTCTAGGTAGTATGGTCTGGCTTACATCTTCACGTTTTTCTAAATGAACGCTTCGAGGAGCCGGATTGGTCTTGCATCACCTGTATTAATAAAATGTTTCACAACTTTGGTTCTTCCTGGTTTGGCATCGTTTTTATCTAATATGGATGAATATCTGAGAAGAAGTTGTTTAGCCTTATTTTGATGGTTTGCATCTAGAATAGGTCCATGAATCGGAATCTTCCTTAAGACCTATTTTGCAATTTATCACGTCCTCAATATCTTGACACTGCCCTAATATAGCTCCTTTAAAGATTTGATTGGTAACTTGCACTCATCAAGTTACACTGGAACACGTTTATCTTGTCTTGTCATAGTCAAAGTTTTGCCTACTAGTAAGTTTGGTGTAGATGGCCTCAACAATCCACAACTTGTTTGGCCCGTAGTCTCCATCTATTTCTGTCCAAATAACTGCTTCTGGTTTCGGTGGAGTCTGCTGACTCTCTGTTGTTATCACCGGTCTAACTTTGTACTTATTATCGTAACCGAACATAAGTGGCACTTCACCATCTTTGTATAGGTCATACTCCTGTTGTTCATGTCAATTGTGATTCCTTGATTCGCTAGAAAGTCTACTCCAATTATGACTTCGTCGGCGATATCTGCCACTATAAAATTGTGTAACTCGGCTGCCTTTCCAATTACGATCTCGCACGTTACTTTTCCGAGAACTTGGGTATCTTCTCCAGTTGCAGTACGGTTACGTTACTCGTATTCCTGCTTATTTGTGAAATGGAGATTACAGGGCATTGGGGCCCGTGCTCTTTAATATGCTTTAAATGTTTGATTGCTAAGCAAGATGCCTTTCCTGTGTCAGAGCATACGAAACGGTTTCCGCAAACGTCAATTTAGAAAGTGCTATATTTCATTATTAAAGGTCAGAAATTTCATGTTCTCGATGTATTTCACGGATTTATGTGCATAAGCTAAGTGAGTTAACCTCTCAAACTCTGTAGAAAACTTCTGCAAAAACTCATTGGCTTTCTGAGAGCAATTTCGCAACTCCATTTGGAAGATCTGCTTCCTGTGCTCACTACCATACCGTTTTTCTAATGCACCAATCACCGTTTCATAACTACTCGCCTCGCAGTTTGGAATGGTCTGTAATATCTCCGCTGCAGATCCTTTCAATGCAACGAACAATGCAGCTACTTTATCTTCAGCGTTCCAAGTGAGGCCTCCTGTGCTGATATACGTGCATCTTGCGCTGCGAACTGCTCTTCCAACTGCGTTGACAACCGCGTTTCTAACTGCGACATTTGTATCGATATTTGCGTTGTTATCTGGGGCATATGTGTATCCTATTTTTCCCCATCAGCGATATTGCAGCAAAAATTATGTTTATGTTGACCATCTTTCACGAGCATTGAGCCTCTTCCTGTTCTTCAATATTTGTTGTCTCTTCTTCTAATTCCTTGTGAAAGACATATTTCTCAACATTAATGTGTTTCGCCTCCATGGCCTCTCTCAATCGTGATTGTAATTAAATTTTTAATCCGTCAAACCACGTTGCTCCAGCTCCTTTTTCAGTTGTGGAATCTTCAAATCGTTAAATTTAGCCATTTTCAAATAGTTATCTCCTCGGGAATATATTTGACAATCCCACTTCTGACACCGATTGTAACGGATTTCTCGATAATTCGTTTTCCTTGTAACTCACTCTTGAGTTCGATTATTGAATTGTTATATAAAGGTCTTAATTTAATGGCTATACACTTATCTTTATTTCTAATTTCAACAACTAAACACTTGTTGCTTGATATTCGAGTTTAAAACTTATTGCTAATAGTTGAATTGCTCTTTACACAGCAACACTCTAATTAGAACTGTGTCTGCTGCACAATCCGGCAGCCCTTATATAGTAAATCCTTAATAAAAGTTCGCTACTAGAACATTCTGGCAATCTCACGAATTCGCTGTCTAGTTGCTTCTGGCAGTTTATCGTCGACTCTGATTTGTTCTGGCATTCGTGTGCGCCCCAATATGTATTATGTGGAAGTAATGGTAATTTGTTTATATGGTGTAAGGCTAACCGAAAGTTTGAAAATTGTATATTTGGTATACCAAATTCTATTAACATGCCACATACTAATAATATGCTGAGTCTCGTTAGAGTACCTCACTTATCATCGCAAATATATATGGAGTAAAGTCAATCGGATGTTTGAAAATCCTGAAATAAGTTATATGGCAGCTAGGGCGAGTTTTCACCCGAGTTTATCCATTTTAGGCACACAGATGCACCGTTATTATAAAAACACGCCCCAACAATTTTATTAAGATAACTCACATATTGGCCAATAGCAAACGAGCATATAACAAAAAGTAAACCGGAGGTTCGAAAGTCTTTGTGTTGGTTATATGGCAGCTAAGAGAAGCCTTCATCCGAGTTAACCCATTTTTGACATACAGGCATACTGTTATCAGGAAAGGGTTTCTCTGAATTTCAATAACATATATCACGGATTGATTGATATTTTCGATAAAAGGTTTGCTGTAAGAACTTTAGTCAACTTACTCGGTGTCTTGGGGCTTGAAAATCTGCACTCTGGTTATTAAAATAAATATAATAGTAATAATAACCCAACGATTACCCTCCACCCGCCCAACGGACGCAAGGGACGCAATCCACATACGTGCGGAATTAGCCGAGTCAGAAAAGTCAAGAGAGCTTTTTGGTGTTGAGATATAAAACTGCTTAGCTACAGAAACAAAAATTTCAACAGCTAAGATTTATAGTTACGATATAATAAATTTTACCATTTTTATTTATTAAGAGAAAACAATAAAGTATCTTTGATTTTGAAAAGTGAGTCAGCTAAGTCAAATGTGCTGGAATGAGAATTAAAATCATGACATATTTGGCCAGTCCGCCATTCATTTGTTCGAAATTTGATCTACAGGATTTTAACCGTAAAGGTCTAAACTGCCTCGAAAAGCGAACCGGGATATTAAATTTAATTTCAGACAGGAGAAAAGAACTGCAAACTGATTCAAGATTTTCACTAAGAATATTATGCCAAGCATTTTCCTACAACTAGAAAGTATAGGTAGATTTATAAGTTTTAAACGACTAGTGTATGGAGGTAGACTTACCCAAGAATCCCATTGGAAATGCCCTAAAGCGAAAAGTAAAACTTGTCACAATGGATTTGGTAGTTAGGGTTCCATACAACAGAGCCATCTCAGCGGACCTCTAAATTATTTAGACCAACGTTTAACAAAACTCAGGACAGCTTTAGCTTTCAAGACCATGGTATCAATATGAAGACTAAATTAACCTTAGGGTCCATATTAACTCCCAAATCAACATAGTTAAAACCTTGATCTAGACTATGGTGTTGTATTACCTAGAGAGAGATTATAAAACGATTTTGGATTACTTACAATACTCCTTTTTACTTTATTTAAGTAATTATGATAACATTTTTTGTTTAGGTCAACATATTGTCGACGCAATATTTAGAAAAGTCGACAAGTGAACCGGTTTTTTTAAAATGGTTAAGGGCTCGAGTTTTTCTGTTTTTCAATTTATATAATTTTTTCGAAAACCACGGACCTATACTTTTTTGTTAACAATTACTATTGGAACATACTTTTCCAATAAATTCGTAATAATATTATTTAAATGTGAGACACTCAATTCAATATCACAATTATAATTAGGACATGGTATTGTAGAAAGTTCTCTATTTAACTTTTTAAAAATAGATTTTTAAAAGTTAAACCGAGTACAGAAGCTAGTAGATTTCGACAGATATTTCCAAAGCAGGATGATACGAGTCTTTTGTCGAAAAACTCAATCGGTACGAAATAGACATCGAAAGCTTTCCAAAAGCACAGAGTAAATTGAAATCTCCTAAATCGACTATTGTATCTGTATTATTTGGCATCGAGGTAGCACTATTTATTAAATAAAGCAGCTATTTACGTAGACTCTAATATATTATATTTAAATTCAAATGAGTCGGTTCCTGGAACGAGAACATCTTCAGATGGGATAGAGGAATGTACGGCAAATAGAACACCTCCTCCGATTCTGTTCAGTCGACCACATCTTGGAGTTTGAAATTTGCTGTTTAAAATCTCATAATCATAAATGTGAGGTTTTAACCATGTTTCCGTAAATTCAATTTAATGGAAATTAAAATTGGACCTGTTTAAGTACAAGTCGGTTAATTTTGTATTAAGATCTCTAACATTTTGATAATAAATGCTTAGCGAATTTCTACCAATCAGTTTTTTATATCGGTGGTGGCATCATTTAACAATGATTTCCTTAGTATGATTTCTAAGTTTAGGCTTAAATTCGCGTACAAAAGCCAGAATGTGCTATCTAAGATCTTTTTGTATATTTCAAGAGAAACGTCTATTTTAATCAATGATATACTTTTATCATAATTGAAGTTAAATTTGCGGATATTGGTATCATTAATTTTTAACCGCGAAGAAATGTAAGACTTAATATCCTCAAACCAAGGTATCTTTGGCAAGTCTAGAAATAAATATAGACTTTTTAGGTGGAAAAACTACCAAATTTTTAATAGATGGTGCTAAGTTATTAGGGGGAGCCTCTAGAATTGTGAGACACTTACAAGTATTACTATTAGATAGAGCTTTTGGGGAATGGAGCTCTTTGGCAGTTGACGGTTTATCGCCTTGAAGGAGAAAAGAGATTTATTAGGTCATTGGGAAGAGACGTTCTTTTCTGTACAGAAAAACTAAGTTTTACTTCATCGGAAGGACGTTTACGCTTAGGTTTGGAGGATTCAAGAGAATCATTCAGGCACTTAAAAGATTTTAACAATTTTTCGTAGTGCCTAAATTTTTCGGTGAGGGTTTCAAGATCTCAACCGATTTCGTTAAAGCCATTGCGTGTCTGATTATAAATTTAAACAGGACCAACGCAATGCCTTACAGTGGAGAATATAATCTAAGATTCGACCTGTCAGTCCAACGCATTTAATATGGGCAAGCCCATCACAAAGCCTGGCTCGGCTTTAATGTTACAGTTGGGGAAGTTACACAATTAGTATGTTAATAAAATATTTATAATAATATATACAATTTAAAACGCAAAATAATAGCAATTTTTTTTTATCAAAGTTCAAAATCAAGACAATTTGAAAAACCAATATAGCGATCAGTTTTAGATGCACTGGAACAAATAAATAACCACAGTCAACACAGCTGTGAATAAAGAAGTTGATGAGATAAATAAAGAGAGAAAATAAAATAAAATAAAACAAAAAGAAACAAAAGCTGATTCGGCACCGAAATTCGAAAATTTAAACTTTAAGACAATGCACAGAACTTAAGAACATTTATACTAAGCTTGCAATTCAAAATCAAATCACTAAATATTCAATTAAATATCAGTTATAAAAATTAACTAAAATTGAAGATTTTTGTAAAATAAAAAACACAAAAGATCACAGCCAAAAAATTGCAACTTTACAGCTTGAAGTGTTGCCACCTATTTTGACAATTTTTAGTCATAAGGTCACTTTCTTTAATCGCACTATTTGGGCATAGTCTTATCCCGATACATTCATTGGTACTTGATTTGCATACTGGGAAGTAAAAGAATCAGATGAAATTTAAAATTATGATACATTGGAAGTGGGCGTTGTTTCAGTCCGATTTCGCCCATTTTCGCACTGGAGCATATTAATGTCAAAATAGTATCTCTTTGCAAATTGGGTTGAAACTGGTTGAGTAGGCCCTGGGATATTGGTTATATGTCAAAATAGTATCACTTTACAAATTGGGTTGAAACTGGTTGAGTAGGCCCTGAGATATGGGTTTTAAACTAAATGTAGGCGTGGCTACGCCTATCGCTTATTTTGAACCCGGCTCCGATAAAGCCCTTTCAGACCATCTCGAGTGTAAAGTTTTATATCTTTAGCGTATTTTTTAAATTTTGCCAAGGAGCTCGTCTATCAAGTTTCATTACAATACCTCAATCACCCAAGTTTCAACTCGTCTCTTCATCTCGATCATTTATATATACATAACTCCATATCTAACTCGATTAGTTTTAGGTAATACAAACAACCGTTATGTGAACAAAAGTTTTATACTCTGTAGAAACATATTGCAAGAGTATAAAAATAGCGGAATAGCTTCAGTGTTAAGAAAAGTGCAATCATATTGTAATTTAAGATAAGTGCATAATGGCTTACAAATATCTTCGAAGGATTGCACAGAACAACGTAATATGAAATGCAACGATGAAATTTTCGGTTGTTGATTAATTCTGAGTATTTAACCGAAAATAAAAAGTAATTACCAGGATCATAACTGGCTCAGTAATCGTTATACATTAGCGGCCACACATAATTATGTATGATGACGCAATTATTATCCAGATACAATAGTTGTTGCCATGCGATCTGATGTATTTTAAATCAATCGCTGCTGTTAGTGATGAAAATGAAAACGCAAATTTTAAAATTGAGTTTCTAAATTCTCTAGATATACCCGGAGTGTCGTCACATAATCAGCGGTTGAAAATGGATTCCCCTATTAAGGTAAGTAAGGAAGTGCTAAGTCGGGTTGTAACCGAACGCTACTCTACTTAATGTTCCTAGAAAACTGAATATTTATTAGTCCATTATCCAATCACAATCATATTATTATTCGTGTTCAAAACACTTTAAACCACCTTGATATAACTTCACTTATAAATTTGTAACGATTGCCATCGGGGTTACTTTTTTCATACTCTCGCAACATGTTGCACAGACCCCTAGGGGGTTGGTATTGCAGATGGGCGTAATCGGACCACTGCCATGCCCACAAAACGTTTTAAAACCTAAACTTATAAAGTGTCATACCTAAGCACTAAATTAAGATACAAAACTGTAATTTGAAGAAAGGGATCGCAGTGATGAGGGGCACTTGAGGGCTAAAAATTTTTTAAATATTTAAATGTAACTATCTTCCAAACCATTAATGCTAACTCAACCAAGCTAGCTGAGAATAAGTATTTTCAGCATTTCTTTATACACTGTGAAAATAACCACGCCCACACCCCATATAACGCTTATGTTGAATATTACTAGAAGTACGATAACTCAGTGAATAAAAGAGCCACAAACATTAAATTTCACATCCAGGATGGATTAAAATTTCTTAATAGGTGCCGCTTTAAAAATCGGGCAACGGGCGTGGCATCGCCCACTTTTAGGTGAAATCCTATATCTCAGGAACTACTGAACTACCCAATTATTTCTATCATACACTGTGAGCGAAATCGGTTGTCAGCCATGTCTACTTCTCCACTCTAACCAACTTTTATATAATATTTTATCTGATTCTATTACTTTACAGTATACAAATCAAATATCAATTTAGTTATTAGACACAAATAGTATCTGCAAAGTATTTAATCTAACGACAAAAAGTTTTTGAAATAGGATTATAACTTTTCAAGGACCCAAACACCAAATATGTGGACACCTGTGCATATGGCTGATATTTTACCGGGGAGAATATTTTTGTGATAACAGCATGCCCTTTCGCCGAAAGTGGGTAAGCTTAACAAAGTACAAAGCTAAATCATTTTGTTTGCCATTTTGATCATACGTGAAATAGAGATACACGCATTGGCTTTCAATACCCATCGCCAGATAGTCCAACGCAAAACCGGTATTTTTACTAGATATAGACAACAGCTACGTACATGTTTCAAAAGAGTTAGCTGATGCCTTTCCTGAACAACTAATAGCCATAGACACTTAACTAAGGTGGGCAGCACATGATCCACACTAACCTAATTCGATACAACAATTACGGATTCTACATACATTTCAATCACTTTAAACCCTATATAAGATAATTAATCTGTGCCTCAAATCGTGAGTTCTTAGTGGCGGAAAAATGATTTACTGATACATACATGATATACTGATACAGTCAGTTGACTATCATAGAATCAGCTAGAACAATTCAGAGGGAATCTATGAAGCTTTTTGTTAAATACACGAAATTGATCTTCTTATAAGAGTGACGATAATGTATTTCCCCTCATTTACGTTATGACATTTCAACGCTTACACAAGCCTGCAAAAGTGCGATAACTGCCTAACGAAAAAGTCAAGAACATTGATTTTATATGTAATAACAGAACAGCAGGTTTGCTTGCGATGCAGTATTAAAATTAGGCAATGGGCAAGTAATGCTCACTTCTATTAAAATTTTTATTGAACGTTATATTGTGGGCCCGACAAAGCTTGGATTGTTGCCATCATTCCAGATTCTAAAAGTGCCGAGATAATTTCATCCAAATATCTTAATTATTATTCATGATATCGCTTGCATAGATAGATGGATAAACTGACTAACG